TTCAGGGTAGTTGATTTTTGCATCCAGAAACAGTGGATCTTTTTCTAGGCTGGGCAGAGTCCTGATTCTTAATGCTTTTATGACTGCTACTTCTCCCTTTTGTTGTGCCAAAAGTGAAATCATTTGGGTATCCAGTCCCTTTACAAAAGGGCTTATCATTCTGAAAATCATCTTACTTTGTTAACTTATTAGCTTGGTTTCCTGATGAACTCAAAAAATTTTGTAGATTATTTGGCTTTTTCTTATTGCTAGGTGATAGTATTCTCTTGTGGCTTTCTAAATCCTAAGCAAAAGCAGAACATCATGAAATTTGGTTATGTATGTCTGTGTGGTATCTAAATATAAAATGAATCTCTAGACATAGGGCATTGCTAAAATTTATAGAGGAGAGTTGGTAACTAATTCCATATTTTTGTGTGTGGACTAGAGTGATTTCCTCAGAGTTAGTTACCTTCCAGGGTAGCTATTTGTTTAAATTCCTTCATTGTTCTTTTAACTTACCAATGTGACTTGTTGTTAGGGATAGAGTAGTATGATTTATCAGACATCTGTTTAGAGCAACTTATCATTTATGAAAATATTATATTACTCTCCAATAGCACAATAAATTCATTGCTTTCAGAAGGTTCCACTCCTGTTCTTAGAAATTAATTGATTTTGATCATTTAACCTGATAAACTCAGAATTTTTTTAATATCATTTTCATTTTATTTAGAGTTTTGAAGGCTGGGAAAGCAAATATTATTTTACCGAAAAGTTCACCAAGTGGAATAACTCATGTGATTGCCAGTGATGCAAGAATCAAGGCTGAGAAAGAAAAAGATAACTTTAAGGCTCCATTTTATCCAATTCAGTATCTAGGGGATTTTCTTTTAGAGGTAAGTAAATAAATAGTGAAGATTTTAAGATGTTTATCTTATAAAATCTGAAGATAGTGAAGTATATAATAAAATTATGTTCCAAATTTTGTAAGTACCGTGATTAGGAGAACTAAAATGGCACATTTTGACATGCAATTGCTCTGTTATTTATACATTCATGAATACTTCTTAGAGATTTAAAAGAAGCTTGCGCGGGACCAGCAGTTGGCTCAATGGGTATGTTGCTGGAATCACATATAGTCGACTGTGGTTCAAGTCCCGGACCCAGTGGCTTAAACTCACGCTGGGCACGTTTGCATGACGTGTGCATGCTCAAGATCCTGAGAGGAGAATGGAAGAGAAGGGATTGCGGTATAGCCGTCCCCCCTGGGGGGGTAACTTCTCGCTTTCTGTCTCTCTATCTGTCTCTGTCTTTCTGGCAAGCGCATGTACTCTATAGCTAAAACCTCTCAAAAAAAAAAAAAAAAAAAATTTTGAGAAACAAGAAGTTCACTAAAAGGATCCCATGTATTCGACTGCGATTCGCGTCCCAGACCTGGTGGCTTAAAACTCACACCAGGAGCTTGTGCATGTGTGCCCAAGATCCCGAGAGGAGAATGGAGGAGAAGGGATTACGGTGTGACCATCCCCCCTGGGGGGTGATTTCTCGCTTTCTGTCTCTATGTCTCTCTCTGTCTGTCTGGCGAGCGCACGCACCCTATAGCAAAAACCTCTCCAAAAAAAAAAAAAAAGAATTTGTAAAGAAACTTGCGTACTAAGTTTAAAATGTGTCTTATTTCAAGTCTCTATTTTTGTTTTCATTGTTTTAGTAATATATACTACAAAATAATTGTAAGCATTTTAATATCAGTGAGTAAATAAAATAGCAATCAAATGTATAGTATCATAAGAAAATTTGGGGCTGTTTTCCCTTTGGAAAACAGAATTAACCTAAGAGTTTAAAAGTATTTTCCTGTCTTAGACTCTTATATTCCCCTCACCACTTAGTTTAAATACCACCTCTCAAGTTGTTTGAATGGTGTTCAAACCCTAGAAGAAACCTTCTAGAAGAGGGTTTTTTTTAAATCGTCTTTTTCCTAATATTTTATGTCACAGATCTAGAGATCACCCTTTGAATCGTTCCTTTTCCTTCTCACATCTTGTCAACTACCCAGTCTCCTTTATTTTATCTCAAATATGTCTTTAATCAAACTGCTTCTCTTCTTCTGTACTAGCAATGATTTTGAGTTTATTTACCTTCCTTCTGTGCTCCTGGAATAATGCTAATTATTCTTCCTTTCACTCTACATTTTTACTCTTATTAATTTCTTTATTACTTTTATCTTCTTGTCTAGCATATTCTAGTTCATTCAGCAAGAGCAACAAAATGTTCTTTCTTGAAGTTCTGATCCTGACTCTCCCATTTAAAACCCTTCTATAGCTTCCCATTGTTTTTAGGATAAAGTTCTAAATATCTAACCGAGTTTACAAATTCCCACAGGATACCTGTCCTTCTGCCTTTGTAACTGTATACTGTTCTACTTTTTCTATGTGCACTATGCTATAAAAATGCCTTCTCTCAGTTTTTTTTTTTTTTTTTAAGTTTTTTTCTTTGTTTCTTGAGAGAGAGTGTGAAAGTAAGAACCCTAGCAGGGTTCCCATGCAGTGTTTTATTTCTCCCAGCCTTCAGCCAGCCCTGATCATGGGGAAGAAGCATGCATATTCAAGGTCTCTGGGAACCTTCCCATGTTGGATTGCCTCACAGAGCTTCCTGTTTGACTATTCCACCTCTATCTGCCCTCCCTTATGCAGTTCCTTAAACAAGCTAAGCTACTTCCTACCTCAAGAAATATTCTCAAAAAATATTTCTCTGCCTGAAAAGGGCTTCCCTACTCCTTCATCCTTTGTGCCTTTCTGCCTTCTACTTATCACACAGTTTCCTGTTAAAATGTTGTCTTTTCAAGGAAGCTTCTCTCTGACTTCCTTATTAAGGTACATTCGCCCATCATATGTTCTTATAACATTATTTTGCTTCATAATACCACAGTTACAATTAAGTAATTGGCTAATTATTTGGTTAGTATCTGTTTCCCCATCTGTGCTAGCCTGTTATCAAGCATCATATTTGTCTTTTCTATAGTTATATCCCAATAACCTCACGCAGAGCCTGGTACGTGGGTTCTTATATGATGTTAGAATAATAGAGAAACTCTGAAAGACCTTTATTAAGTTTTTCAATAATAACTGTAATATGTGTGTGTATATATATATATATATATATATATATATTTTTTTTTTTTTTTTTT